GTCTGTCCTTCCCAAAGCTGTCCCCACGGCTCCCGGAGACACGCACTAGATTATTTTACCTGCTTTTCCTCTACCTCTGCTTAAGCTTCCCTAATTCCCACAGGACTTCTTCTTCTATGAGCTTGCCCTTCCTGCCGTGAATGGAGGATGCTGGGCAGTTTTTTCAGCTGAAGTATCTGCCTTTTTTTTTTTTTTTTTTTTTTCCCTCTTAACAAAAGCTTCCTTGCTGATGCAACCTCCAAAGGAGGTGTTTGGAGAGGAGAGACAGGAGAAAGCTGGAAGCCAGCTGAGCTTGCATGGAGCCTGAGGACTCACAGCCGCCTGCGTGACCTTGCTTCCCCCAGCCTGGCTGGGAGCTTCCCGCTGTCGCCCCATCTGCCCCCCTCCCAGGGGGATGCCTGGCCACACACGGCCATTTCACCCTGCTTGAATGACACAGGACCCACCTGATGCTAACAATGCTTCTCCTTCTGCTCACAGACCAACACCAGTAAGGAATCCGGAGGGTCTCTCCTGCTGCTGCCTGGGAGCATCGGAGAGTATCTACTTGATGCATGCCACAGCAAATGGAAGGCCAGTCAAGAAAGACTGAGATCTGAGTAGCTGTAACAGGCAGGATAGGGATCATCCTGAGATGCCCAGTGCTGGCATCTGTAGGAAATTTTTTGGAAAATGTACCCTATGCTAACCCGCAGGGGAAATTGCATATTGGCCCCTGCCAGTCTGATGGATTGTCTCTTAATCTGGATTAGGTTTAACCCCGAGTGCATGACCAGGCTGTACAAAGCATGGACCTGTGAATGTAGAGGCACGAGCAGCATCTGCCGGATGAGCCAAGCCAAATGAAGCCACAGCTTCTGCACAGTTTGGGGAAACCACTTTCTCCATGTGGCGTCACCTCTAAGGTAACAGAGTTTCCCTGCAAACCCTCACAAAGCGCCCAGATGTTACTCACATCGCTATTGCAGAAACCGCCATAAGGAAGAGGCAGGGCTGGTGCAG